AGAGAGAGAGAGAGAGAGAGAGAGAGAGAGAGAGAGAGAGAGAGAGAGAGAGAGAGAGAGAGAGAGAGAGAGAGGATATTCTGTACAGCTTGTCATGAGCTTGTAGGGCACCCATGATGCATGTTCTGCATATGAAAGGGATGTCACTGGCTGCAGAGAAAAGGATCAGGGTTATCCGTGCAGCTCTCATGATGTATAGCATTGTATAAAAACTCAAGGTTTTCAGTATTTACAATTCAACAAATTAAATCGATTGTTTATATCATTTAATCCTGACGACTTTTTTTTTTTTTTTTTTTTTAACTTTTAAGCTATATTCTTCTCTCAATTTCATCTCACACTACCTACCTACCACTACTCCTAATTGTAGGCATACGGGGAACCCCGTAGAGTACTCTTCACATCTAATCTAAGATATGTTTTGAAATGATGAATGGGAAATAGAAGATTTTATCTCCTCTCCTGAAACTGCTCCTGGGGCCTTGAGCACACATCTGAAGCAAAGAGTGTGAACTTGAAATAGTGGAGCACAGCACTTCATAGCACTTCATAGCACTGCATAGCACTGCATAGCACTGCATAGCACTGCATAGCACTGGAGAGTAGCACATATCATAGTTGCAAACTGACTCTCAAGTACTAGGCATAGCACTGCACAGTACTTCATGGCAATGCTCATCACCAGTGGCCCTGGCCTATGCAGTGCTATGCAGTACTATGCAGTGCTATGCAGTGCTATGCAGTGCTATGCAGTGCTATGCAGTACTGCTATGTGGTAGGGCCCACATAGGACTGCCTGTGCTGCATAGCACTTCATATTTGGCATGCATGAGCCTCCCACATGGGCCCGGTGGCCCCGGCGTTGATTATTGGGCCCTACCTTCTTCCCGTGAATATAATGTATGTACTATGTAGGTTATATTAAAGTTTCCCGAAAAGATCCGTTTTCCGGGCTGGTGCAGATAATGTGAACATAAATTACATAATGCCCCATCAAATATAACATACAAGTTCGGTGAACATAATGCCCCATCAAATATAACATACAAGTTCGGCTACCAGCCGGGCCGCCAGGTCACCTCGGTTGCGTGCGCGGCCCAGCCGTGCGAGGGCCAGGGTAGGTCCCAGCGAAACAAAACAAAGCCAAAAAAATAAAAATAAAATCCAAATCCAAAAAATGCGAACAAAAATTATGTTATCATTTTTATCATTTTTATGTAGAAAATTAAACTGAAATAACATTTTTTGTGGGTTTTTTTTTTTTTTTTTTTTTTTTTTCCGGTTATAAAACTGGGAACCGGACCAGGCGTCCCTTGTATTTCGAAGAGCCAGGACTCGGGCCCTGTTGAGCTTGACTCTAGTTCGACTCTGTGAAACGACTTGAGAGTGTAGAATAAGTGAAAAAAAAAAAAAAAAAAAAAAAAAAAAAGAAGTAGATGGTCCCGTGGCAGGGCGAGACATCACCGGTCAAGCCCTAAGACCCGACCGCTACCCCTCATCAAACCCCAAAGGACACATAGAGCGAACCCTAATTTGAAATTTCCTTTCATCCTGAAACACAGCCTAACTAACAGATTACTATCTATGACAGAAGTTCTGAAAATTAATGCGATAGGAAGTGTGACTGGATCAAACAAACTCTTGCCTAAAATGGCAAGGGGCGACAGGGATGAACACAAACAGAGCACCAAAAACCACTAAGACAACCAGCAGTCAAACAAAGAGCCAAACTCCATAGCCAAAAGGCCCAAAACCTAATCGCGAATATCTCCGAGAAAGGCAATGAACACAACACCCAACAATATATCCCTCACCTAAAAAACAATTCCATGCCTACAACCCCCATCGCTAACAACAACAAGTAATCTCTCGTCTAAAATGACACAATTAAACACTACTCGTCATGAAAAAACAGCAGCTGTACAAAGAAGACCAAGCAGCTGAGGAGGAAGGATGACCGCAATTCCGCCTCAGCGGCCTCACCAAACAGCCCACGAGAAAGAACGGCCGCAATTCCGCTTCACCAACTTGGACCAATCGACCGTCATCCATCAAAACACCCATGAACCACAGGCTGCTCCAGGCTGCACCAGGCAACCCAAAAGTAGGATAAACCTGCGCGCATGCCACGGCGAACCACGGGCCACCCCCAACTGAGCGGGAATGCGTTATCCCCACGGCATCTCCATATCAAAGACCGGAGGGTGAGCCCCCGACCGGTTGCGTACAGTATGGTGGCGGGGTCCGGATCCAGCTCTGCAGCTGTCCGCACTTCTTCTCACTCTCCGTTCTCCGCTCGGCAGGGATTCCTGCCCAGCAGCTGTCCTCACTTCTTCTCTCTCTCCGTTCTCTGCTCGGCAGGGGAGTGAAGTATGGCTAGGAACGAATTTGATGATGTGGGGAGTCAAATTGGTGTGGGGCATGTGGGGCATGCCCCACATATGCGCTCGAACCTCTCCACGCATAGCCATAGCCAGACTCGCGCTAAGTTTTGGTAATTCATGGTCAATCAGTTTCGTCAAACGTGAGTGCGAGCCCCGAGCGCCCAAATGTGGCCGCTAGGGCGACACGTTATCGCTGCGTTACCGCAACGCTAACGCGAGGGTCACATTGAAATTCTTTACCAAATTGAAAATGAAAAAACGGATTTTTTTTTTTTCTCCTACCCATCCGGGCAAGTGGTCCCAGGCCACTCTGGTAGCCTATAAGATACATCTATTTTATTCAAATATAATCATTATTATTCATTATTCTAATTGTAATAATCATTAATAATGTATGTGCACTTTGTTTGACCAGACCGTACTTTATATTTGAAAAAAATGCTCTCTCTCTCTCTCTCTCTCTCTCTCTCTCTCTGTCTGTGTGTGTGTGTGTGTGTGTGTGTGTTGTCATATTTGCTATACACTCAAAAAAGGCACACCTGTGCCTGACTCTTTTGTCGGACTTTCACCGATGTATGTGTGTGTGTGTGTGTGTGTGTGTGTGTGTGTGTGTGTGTGTGTGTGTGTGTGTGTGTGATGATGTGTGTAAGCACATATTATGGTAGCCTCAGCACATGATAAACATGCACTCCACCTACCGTCACAACACAGGATACACTCCACCACTATCCCTAATGCCCTCATACATTCACAGGTTAGATCCTCTATTTACCCAGGCATGTCATTTAGGCAGACGGTAGCTCGACAAAACAACAAGGCACAACCAACAGTGAAGCGAAGGACATGGGTTGGAAGGCATGAGGGAGGCAGGTGGGCAGACAGACAGCATGGCGCCCTGCAAACAGCACAAGGTATTAAAGCATATAGGCTGGAGGGCATGGGGGAGGCGGGTGGGCAGGCAAACAGCACAAAACAACAAAGCGCACTGGGTAAAAGGCATGGGGTAGACGAATGGGCAAGCAAAACAGCGTAAGGCAGCGAGGGAAACAACAGCATGACAAACGACGACAATGCAAAAACAACACCCGAAAAAAATACAAGTATAAATAAGGCAAAGACTGAAAATAATAATAATAATAATAAAACTGCTGATGAAAGATTGTTTTGTCGGAGTTGCACCGACTCATCAGGAGGCTGAACCCTCGACAATCTGCGGGGATCTCCGTATTAGATGGTTTGGGTCATGAACCCTTTGACCCTTGTTGAAGGCAGACTGTCCCCAAGCGAAACATAGCAGCGGGCGGCGACCCTGTGGAGCACCAGGCAGCACAGTAGAGGCAACACCGCTGCACAACGCCAAAAACGACTGCAAGGAAGGACATGGCACGTAGCGCGGAAACACGGAAGGCACGGCCAGTGGATGAGGCAGCGGAGCAGCAAAGCGCAAGGCAACACCGACAACACAGCCACACCACACAGCGAACACAGCAACTTGCAGAGAACCAACATGCAAAGCAAGCAGGACAGGGAGCAAGGCGGCGGTGGTGTGCAGACGAGGCAGTCCACACATCCAACACGGAGCAAAGCAGCGCATGACCTAATCACATCACGATTGAACCCTGCAGACTGTTCGTTCCCACCACCCACTGAGCCAGGGAGTCACTCCGACGAGCATCCGTCATTGCCTACAGGCAACACAGGCATCCCGAACTGAGCGGCACCCCCATAAGAGTGCAGTAGGCACTCCAAGCGAGGAACCACTGACTGTTTGGCACTACTTAAGGGTGCTCAGTTGGGAAACGAAAAAAATACTCAGACAAAATTAGAGGAAGAACAGACAGCAAGAGGGAAACAAACAGACATAAAACTGATTTTGTGTGTGTGTGTGTGTGTGTGTGTGTGTGTGTGTGTGTATGTGTGTGTGTGTGTGTGTGTGTGTGTGTATGTTGTCATATTCGCTATACACTCAAAAAAGGCGCAACTGTGCCAAACTCTTTCATCGGACTTTCACCGACTCATCAGGAGGTATATGTCTCTCTCTGTGTGTGTGTGTGTGTGTGTGTGTGTGTGTGTGTGTGTGTGTGTGTGTGTGTGTGTG